CGCGCCGTTGTTGGACAGCTGCACCTTCCCCGTTAGGTGGTGTGGGGCGGGGGGGGGAGGGGCGGGGGCGCTGAGACTCTGAGATGTGTTCGCTGCATAAAAGAACATCGTGATGAAAATCTTTCACCAAATCTTACCCATGATTCCCTGGTGCAGTGTTTGCAGCAGGGGTGAAAAGGTCGTGGACAGTCATCACGGCGAGTGTCTCTGTCAGTGTGAGGAGAAGTCAGCTGAGTCTGAGTCACAGTCCGTCCAGAACTGGACTCCATCCAGTGGCGTTGACCGGTCACATCCGACATCAGAGGAACTGCAACACACACAGGAAACAGACAACGCTGATGCACACACGTGCCTAAAACTTTTGCACAGATCAGCGTATATCGACACCACAGGTGTTAATTAGACGCAGTGGCTGAGAGCAGAGGGTTCGACACCAACCACAGACCATGCAGAGCTAGAACCTTCTAGAACATCACTCAAAGACATCACCATACATCACCACTGAACCCTGTCCTCATTGGTCCAGGCACCAGACACAGAGTGTGATTGACAGCTGTCGTCCAATAGCAGCTCTGGCTGGAAGTCTCCTGAAGTCCGGCTGCTGGTGTCCACCCACTGAGCCACGGCGCTGACGTCACAGTTACGACGACTGGTTTTTCTGTGGACCAGCATCACACTGACAGAGTTGATGTAGAAACATTTTTATTGTTCTTTTGAAAACAGGAGCCTGTGAGGAAACATGGAGTATCCTGCAGTACAAAGTACACAAAACTTTGAAGTAGTCAACATTAACAGAGACAGAGTTCTGTAGTAATACTGTGGTCTGAACTTCACAGCATTACAAGAACCTGAGGTCACGTCCTGAGGTCACGTCCTGAGGTCACGTCCTGAGGTCACGTTCAGCGCTGGGTTGATTTTACTAAAACGTTGACGATGTCATCCTTCACAGTCGGACACTCGGAAGTTCAGGGCCTGTGAAGACTTGATCCATCCTGGTCCAGACCATCGTGGTCTTCCACAGGTGGTCTCTCTGCTGACCTCACTTCTTCTGCTCCAGCCACAGGGACCTTCTCCGTTGTTTTTGGCAGATGGCCCGACACTTCATTGTGTACCGCGGTCCTTTCAACCGTGGGCAGAACCAGCGTGTACGCAGCGGTGGTCTGTGGGCCTTTGTCAAGTCCCGCTCCGTTACATCTGTGTGGAACACTTGGAGTTTCCACGGCTGCTCCAGGAGGGAAAATAAATTCAGGGGTTAACGGAACAGTCACGTGACCTGCTGCTACACATCGACACATGACACATGTCACATGACCCATCAGTGACAGACCTGCTGCTACACATCGACACATGTCACATGACCCATCAGTGACGAGCTTGTTATTTATTTACTTCTACATTTATTATTGGACGTCAACTGAAGGTGTGTGATCTGGCGATACCATACGTATCACAATATACTATAGGCTCGACGATATATTTATATTTATATATCGAGGTGTTTCTTCATCATAGTAAAGACTCAATGCTGTTTTATCTGAACATCAGGTTAATAACATTGATGATAAATAATCAATACACTGATGGAGGACATTGATACAGAATCACAATATTTCAGTGTATGGATATTTTCTTTCCCTCCTAGTATGAACTGATATCAAGTCCTATTGAAAAAGAAAACATTTTATTTAACAGTCCACAGTCTCAGAAAATTAGAATTTTATGAAACTAATGAATAACCCTGACTGAGTGTAGATAAACCAGCAGCTCTGGAGCTGATAAGAGTTTCACTCCCTAAATATTTCTCCTTAACAAGAATAAGAAGAAAAAAACAAAACAGGCCTGAGTGAAAAATGTGGTTGATTATTTAACATGTAGGAACCAGTGGGCCGGTGTGGACCGTGTTTGGAGAACTCCCAGACTGGACTTTATTTATTCACATACCTCTGTGTCTCAGACACTGAGGCAGGGCCACGGTGATGGAGAACAAAACAAAGGCCACAGAGGCAGCGCTGCTCCACCACGACCTCTTCACGCCCTCCTCATCCTCACCTGGTAACAACAGCAGTAACAACATGTAACAGGAAGTAACATCTGAGGTTTGATCCAGGAACCAGAACTCTTTATTTAGAAAATAAAAACAACAACAACACTGAAAAAAGTCAGACTGTAAAAATAAATAATGAAACACATCATGTTTTGTCGTGTTTAGGATTTTGTTTTTAAATTAATCGTGATTAAACCACAGCTATCCTGTGATTGCTCAGAAATAAAAACATTTTATAAAAAGTTCTACACTCACCGACCGAGGCCTCGGTGATATTCACTCTGGTCTGGACCACGTGTCTGCTCTGCAGCCCAGAGAAGGTGCAGGTGTATGTTCCAGAATGTTCTTCTCTGTCGGGTTTGTGAATGAGGAGCGATCCGTTTCCCAGCAGCAGCAGGTTCTGGTCCAGTTCTGCCCGACCCTCCCACTGGTTGGAGACCAGCCTGGTTCTACTGTCAAACCTCAGGATCACAGCGGGGTCAGTGGAGGAGCTGAAGGTCCAGGTGAGGGAGAAGTTCTGGACAGTGTGTGGAGCCACGCACGGGACGGAGAGGGCGTGGCCTTCTTCCTGTGTGACGTCTTCTGAAAGACAGAAGATCAGATGTTCTTAAAACTCAGCACTGCTCCTTTAAATGACAGCCCTAACCACAGCGTCTTCTGGACCTTGGTTTCTCCAGGAGGACGTCCACTCCTGGGTCTTGTCTGCTGACGTGAACGAGCAGAAGTAGGTATTGTGGGACAGATTACCCAGAATCCTCAGCGAGCTCTCTACCGTATACAGACCCTTGTGATCTGTGATTTTCAGGGTTGAATTCTCCGTAAAGCCGTGGTCTGGGGGTGGATCTGTGGCCCAGGTGACGTGAGGGACAGGGTGGATGTTCTGAGAGGAGCAGGTGAGGAGGTCATCGGTCATCTCCATCATCACTGACTGGATCGGAGCTGGAGTCAAACGAGCACAGAACACACTGACCACAGCGTTTACTTTATATGACATACATGACCAAACACGCTGAAGTTACTGACCTTTGACCTCCAGGTTGATGAAGACCTCCTGGTTGCCCTTCCGTGTGCTGGTGTAACACTTGTACCTGCCCTTGTCCTGGACCTTCACCCTGCGGAGGAGCAGGGAGGCGTTTCCGTGAGGGATGTGTGAGTTGAACAGACAGGTTCTTCCACTGAAGTGTTTGTTCTGGAGACCAAACTGGTCCTTGTTGTAATAGTAGCTGTGGACCGGGATCTGCTGCTTGTACCAGTGGATCACCACCGTACCAGTGGGCCTGAAGCTGCAGGGCAGGATGCAGTCGTCCTGGACGATACAGGTCAGGTTGAAATCTGGGGACAGAGAGTGAGAAGGAATCCATCGTCATGATCATCAACTGGTGGCCCGCGGTCTGAGTCTGGCCCATTAGACCATGGACTCCAGTCCACTCCCACAGTCCAAAGACATGCAGGACTAACACCTGAGCTGTCCCTCACTCACACCTGCAGTCAGTCAGAGTCAAACATTCTCCTCCAAACAGAAAGACAATTACTCAGAGCCTGGAATCAAACGTCCTGCTGTAAGGCAACAGCACTGACCACCGCCCCACCCGGTGAGTCTCAGCTGTTCCTGTGTCGTCCTAGAACAGCTGAACAGCTGCTGGACCGGTCACTGAGGACAAACTGCAGCTGTGTTTCTGCCCGTGTGAAAAGACGAAGGCAAATCATTAGTTAATACTCTGTGAATCAGACACGGAACTGGCACAGAGGCGTGAAAAAGGTTCTGAACAAGAAGTGAACGACTGAGGAAAACTGTGAGTTCAGTCATCAGCCGGGAACTGACCAGAACTGACTAGAGCTGACCAGAACTGACCAGAACTGACCAGAACTGACGGCTGAGTGTATGGACTTAGAGTTGGTTTTTCAGCTCCAGTCCTTGAAGCTGCCACAGGTTGATATGACGTATCCCAGCTCCAGATTCTTGCCAAAACACAGCTACAGTTCATTATTTATTTTTGGTTCTTTATATTAGTTATAAATACATAAAAATGAAAGAAAAAATCAGCAAAAACGAAATGTGTTCACCTAAAAACACACCAAAAACACTTCAGAGAAGTTTCTACACAACACGTCATCATCCATCCATCCATCCATCCATCCATCCATCCTTGTCTGCTGTCGTCCTGAGCTCAGAGACGTCTCTACCTTTAGCGTCGACCATCAACAGATGGAGGAGAAGAACAGTCATGAGTCCAGGAGTCTCTGCCATGTCAGACGGTCAGACGGTCGAGGTGAACCAGGTGTGTGAAAACACACTGGGGAGAGAGAGAGAGAGAGAGAGTGGGTGGGAGAGAGAGAGAGAGTGTGTGATTCCACTCTACATCCTTCCTAACACTAATGAAACACTGACTAATTAACCAGGCAGGTCAACCTTTAACCAGGCTGCTCCTGGATCAGTGCACACACACACACACACACATACACACACACACACACACATGGTGTCAGGAAGGGGAAAGTATTTTGTTTTTTTTGGGGGGGGGGGCTGACGTCGGGGCAAATTTACATCAAATCAAATGTTAATTAATAAATACAAAGTCAAGGACAAAAATACTTCCAATGCACATGAAAAGGTCAGAATCGTGGGGGGGGGGGTGGGGGGGTAATTCACACTGTGTAAAGTTCCAGGTCCTTTGTAAGGAGTGACAGGTGTGACGTCAGCAGACGCGGCTCCTCACCGTGGAGTTGTTTCCATCCTCTCACGGACACAGAGTGAAAACACAGGCAGAGAAAACGCTGTGATGGTTCAAAGTAGGCGACAGAGTGATAACACAACTGCTGACTCTTTATCCCCCCCCGGTGGCCCCTCCCTTTCTCTGTGCCCGCCCACTGCCGCTGGCGGTTTGTAGGTTAGTGAAAGATTTCAGCGAGCACAGATAAGAAGATTAGGGAGGAATTAATGCTCCTCCTTTGTCATCACAGGGATGAATTGATATTTGGTCTTAAATACGAAGGGGGGGGGGGGGCAGAGCGAACATGTCGTGTCACCAGACGTCAGCAGAGGGGACGACGCGGTGAAGGAAGAACACACTCAGCCAGAGGGGACGTGTGTGTCACCGGCAGCGGAGCCCTGAACCCAGAACCGATCTTCTCCCACCTTGACGATGACAGAGCGGGACAACGAAGGCTTCGCCGGGACCGGGACAGCGCTGGGGGCGGCGTTCCCTGGATAAGAGGCTGACGCAGTGGGAGGAACGTTTGGCTTCCTCTCCCCCACCATGAGCGTGGCCCTCCTGGCCCTCCGACTCATGTGCTTGGCCTGGATGTGGCCCCTCACCCAGCTCAACAGCAGCTCGCTCCCCGACGGCCGACGACAGCAGGAGGTGAACGAGGAGGAGAAGGACGTCCAGAAGGAGGCAGGGTGGGTGAGAAAAAAAAAAGTGGAACCGTTTTCTGCTGTTCTGAATTTTAATCTGTAGTTCTGTTTGGTTTCATCTCCTGCTCATCAGGACTGGAAATGGGAACAGAAATAGGAAAGAGATTTAGAAGAAGAATGAGATCGGAATAGGAAATATGGAAATATAATCTTTTTCTGTCCCACACCGAAGAGATTTGCAGGTCAATCTGGCCTATTCAAATAGGGGCTCGTGGGCCTCAGGTGGCCCAGACAAAACCCCACTCTGTGGTCTTTTGGAAACAAATTAGCATCTCATTAGAAATTCCTAAAGTAGAACAGACCATCAATGAAACTCTCTCTGTAACCTAGCAACCCGTAACCCACAATGCATCATTTGTGGGTCCGCAACAAACAGCGCTGATCAAGATGCACGAGTGGAGAACGTCCACGAGGATGGACTGGTCTAGAACTGCACTGTACAACTGTTCACACAGTCATTTTAGTCTAAAAAACAAATTCAACACATGAAAACCCACAACAAACACAGTGTCATGTCAACCAATCAGACGCCTCCGTCTCCACAGTCCTCATTTGTGGAATTGACTCACAGATAAACAAACAAGCTGCTCAACACGGAGCAGGCATCTGTGTCAACTCCCTCCGACTCTCATTAGACCCTGGACTTGGACTTTAATCCTGGAGCCTAAATGAAGCCGCACTAACTCAGCGGACCAGATGTCACGTCCCCCGTCCACGACGTGTCCGTGTTAGGAAGACAAAGACTGAGGTTTGAACCGTTTCTTTTTTCTGCTCAACAGACGAGTCAACCTGAAGCTGAAAAAACTGGACAGCACCAAATCTCTGCTCATCAAATCTGAGCAGCTGCTGCGGATCGAAGAGCACGACTTCGCCATGAGGCCGGGATTTGGAGGTGAGAGAAGAAACAACCCGAGATTATTTTCCTGGAGATTTGGATGAAAGTAGGTAACGGTGCTATCTTTGGGTTCACGCCTCAGAATAAATAAATAAATAAATAAAAACCCCAGTGACCCAGATGGGCTGCAGAGTCAGACAGTAATAATCTGGGCTCTACACCTAATTCAGTTTGGACAAAACAATACCAATCTGGTATTAAAGGATTTCAGTCAAGTGTTGTCAGAGCTAATAATGACCGGGTTCTGATCACAAAAAGAAACTGGAATCCCAATTCAATTCCATTTGTCCCTGTATGTTAATTTAAAATGTAAACATGTCATAATATACTTATTATACGTTCTATGATATTTATAGATCAAATGACTAACTAATGAAAATGAAAACGCAAAGATGTGGCAGATTAAACGATAACATGTTTAAATGCCACGCTCCCATGGCTGGGATTTACACTCATCATCTCCAGTAGGGGAGATTAGGATTCATGGAGGTTGTAATCCATGTTTTTCTTGAAGCTTATCCACTGCATCTTCTGGCCTTTTGTAGGTTCAGCGATCCCAGTGGGCATCGACGTGCAGGTGGAGAGTATTGACAGTATATCTGAAGTCAACATGGTGGGTATCTGACAGACGCTCAGGTTCTGGTTCTGTTCTCACAGCCTCCAAGTCCAAGTTAGAACAAAACATTTAAAAAAAAGGTGAGGTGCTCTAATCATGAATTTAAAAACCGCAGTGATGGCTTAGTGGTTAAGGAAGCTTTAGAACAAACAATTAAAAAAAAAGGTGAGGTGCTCTAATCATGGTCATCACACTGCTGCCCCCTGCTGGCTGTGGGGATAGGTTAAAAACAGAGGTCATATTTGGTTGTGTGCTGTGGTGCAGTGGTGTGCTGTGTCACTATGACAAGTCGTCTTACTTTCCTTCCTCCCTAACGTGAACAACACTTGTTCCACGTGTTCCACTGGTCAGGACTTCACCATGACCCTGTACCTGAGACACTACTGGCAGGACGACCGTCTGGCCTTCGCTTCCAGCAACAACAAGAGTCGAACTTTCGACTCACGTCTGGTGAAGAAGATCTGGGTTCCTGACGTGTTCTTCGTCCACTCCAAACGCTCCTTCATCCACGACACCACCATGGAGAACATCATGCTGAGGGTGTTTCCTGACGGCAACATCCTCTACAGCGTCAGGTCAGGAGGAAACGTCACATCATCAGCAAAAAGTTCAGAGCAACAGCTACAAAAAACATACGCCAACTACATATATGTGTATATATAAATACATACATATTTTGGGAAATGACTTGGTTTCTGTTTGTGTTTTTTCTTCACCTGTGGTCCAGAGTCACAGTCACGGCTCTTTGTTCCATGGACTTCAGTACTTTCCCTCTGGACACACAGAACTGTTCCCTGGAACTGGAGAGCTGTGAGTGTTATATATATATTTATATAGAGGTTCTCCACCTGAAGACCCCTCCCCCACACTCCCCTCTGGTCTCCCACAGACGCCTACAACGTGAACGACCTCGTGCTGTACTGGAAGAACGGGAACGACTCGTTAAGGACCGATGAGATCGTTCTCTCTCAGTTCTTTATAGAAGACTTCCAGCCTTCCTTTGGACTGGCCTTCTACAGCAGTACTGGTATGTGGAATACACCCCCCGCCCCGCCCCCCCCACCCCACATCTCCAATCCCGGGACTAAACCACATTAAAATGTATTACTATATCAATGCCTTTCCTTTATGTTTTTATACTTGATGCTAAACTCTGATAAGTCACTGTGCCCCACAGTAAACCCTGTTACTACAGAGAACCCCCCCTACACACCCCCCCCACTCTACACTTTTCCCATAGATTAAACTAACAGATAAAACAGCTTCAGATTTTCCAAACTTTCGGCCACTCCACCGCCTCGATTCCCAGGCTTTAGTTTAAGCTCCGTTATGTGGCTGAGAAACTCACATATATAAATAAACGAGCAGAGGAATGAAGTATCAGACGTTCCACTAAAATATGACTTTAGAAATTATAGAAATTAGCATAATGGTTCCCAAAATAGGGGGTGCACCCTCGGAAGTGGCGAGGGACTATTTTTATCTCAACGTCTTCATTTGTTCCTCAACATTTTTTACTTTCTTGCCTCTTCCGTGATGACATCATCTCTTTTTCAGGTTGGTACAATCGTCTCTACATCAACTTCATTCTCAGGAGGCACATCTTCTTCTTCATGCTGCAGACCTACTTCCCCACCATGCTGATGGTGATGCTGTCCTGGGTCTCCTTCTGGATCGACAGGAGAGCCGTCCCTGCCCGTGTTTCTCTGGGTACTGAGATCACGTTGTTAACACCTACACGTACACGCAGTCGTCGCTCGCTGTATCGCGGTTCGGCCGTCGTGCCCTCAGTGCATCGCACATAAATTAATTAAATTAAAGATTGTTCGCTCAATTGGGGGTTTTTGCGTTATTTAATTTTACATTTCCAATATTTTCATTATTTTTGTGATAACATTGTTTTAGCCTAAGAAAAAAAAAAACGGTAAAAACATAGTAAAAAAATGGTATTTTGTAACACATACATACAGGGTATTGCAAGAAATAACCTGTACATACGAGTAAACGAGATTTGTGAACGTTTCATCAACGTTAATGCAGGACAAGAATAAAAACATTCAAACTCACCGTTTGTTTCCAGGCATCACCACGGTCCTGACCATGACCACCATCATCACTGGCGTCTCAGCGTCCATGCCTCAGGTGTCCTACGTCAAGGCCGTGGACATCTACCTATGGGCCAGCTTCCTGTTTGTCTTTCTGTCCGTCATCGAATACGCTGCGGTCAACTACTTCACCACCGTGGAGGAGATGAAGAGGCTGAAAGGCTCTTTGAAGGTCATCAAGTTTAAGACAACAGTTTCATGTGTGACCGTGACTAGAATTAGGTTTTGACTTTTCTCTGCTCCTCTGTTGCCGTAGAGTCCCACCACCTTCTCCGACACTCAGACCATGGCCTTCGATGGCTGTTTCCATGACAACGACATTAACCTGACCACGTTCACAGCCGTCTCCAGCCCGTCAACCACCGACAGGAACGCCCAGTCACCTAACTCTACTGTCTCTGCACCAGCAGAGGGCACCAGACTGCGGCGCAGACAGCCATTAAAACAAAACCTCAGCTTCATTATGAGCAACAGCTACATGATCGACTCCTACTCCAGGGTCATCTTCCCTCTGACCTACCTGCTTTTTAACATCATTTACTGGAGTTTGTATGCGTAACATTTGCACCGTCCTACAGTCCAGACTGCAGTGAACCAACGACTTCACACCCTCACTGTACAACTGTACCACTGTACCACCGTCACTGATCCTTAGGTGAGAACAGACGGCCTGTGTGTCCATCTCCAACATGGCTGCTTTAAAATAAACATTTTAATTTAGCACTTAGACCAAACCTACATTTATTGTAAAATAAACTCTTATAGCATTTAAGAAAAAGAAACACCATGGTCGTCATCACAGAATGGATGGATTTCAATCAATAAAACAAAACGGTTTGTATTTTAATATTTACAGAAATGCTTTTCAGGACTTGCAGTAAAATCTGTATTTACAACCACAGAAACTGAGTAAGTATACAGGTATACATATAAACTAATAATAATAATTTGGTACAGTCCGAAGTTAAGTTTGCGGTTTTCGAATCCCAAACGGAGCAGTACCACTGAAAGTCGTGGGGGCGCTGTTGCACAGTCATTAAAAACAACAGCACAAATGAAAAAAACAAAACCGAAATGGTACTGAGAACACAACACTGACACCTAGCGTATACGTTGCTTGATATATTAAGATATTTCACTAATCAGCATTGATTAGTGAAATGGTAAACATGTACATGAAGTACCTGAAGGGAGGAAATGACGAGTCTATGTCTCACTGGTGCAACTGTTTCCTACAGACACAAACAAACTTATGTAACACAATCATTAATAAATGAGGATTGGAGAAAACAAAGAGGATTAAGCGGTATATAACATGTGGCCGTGGTACACGAAGAGCGCAGTACACCGAGTAATCACCGCTGATGGACGGTCATCTAATGAATATTGACGTTAGATAAGAAACGGAAGGAGCTCCGTTCAAAAATGAGTGGAAAGAGTTCGTTTATTTCATCAAAAACCAGTCGAATTATATTTATAAAAATATCTATATCATTTAAATAAATCCGTTTCCGGAAATGTATGTGTTTTCTATCGTTTTTATTTTTTTAAATCACAAAGAACCACCTGCTGCAAATCGCCACTGTGTTTCACTTAGAGTACAGGTAGTAGTAGTATTACAGTAGTACACGTTTATGTATGTTTGTGTATTTGTTTACCTCACTTCCATGTATAACGGACAGGTTCTAATTTCTCCATGAGTCCGAAGAACTTCCCTCCACTTCAGTCTCTCCATAATCTAACGACGCGTCTGCCCTCTAGTGGCTGGCGGCAGCACAGCTTTAAACCGTTTCACAGGCGAGTTCTGAGGCATAAGAGGATAATAAAAACAATTACACCCGTGTTTAACGGCCTGAGGGTCTGCTACAACGCCCTCTGTCGAACGGACAAAGTAAAGATGATCAGTATCTAACTGATAGGAAATACTAGTACACTTACTACACCCCGGTTTTCATATAAAATATACATTAGAAATATGTATATAATATATGTGTATATTATATATATTACATATATAAATATTATATACATATAACTATCAATACTGTTATGCAATAATAAAAAAATATGATACAAAAATAAATCATGCAACAAAAAAATCTGAAAGTGAAGACACAAATAATGTGAATAATCTATTTTAGGATTACTACACAAAAGAACAAATGTAAGGGCCACATCAGTGTGAGGTGCAGAAGCTCCACCCACTCAGTCCAGTAAAGCAGGTGATTGACATGGACATTTCAACTGACTTCTGACGCAGAGCTAAATGTCTCAATGCTTTTTTTTAACTCTGTGCTGTTTGAACTGCTGTCAGTCAGTGTCACAGGTTTAGGACACGCCCCGAGGCGTAGCTTCACTGACGGACAAAAAAGAAATCTCTTCATTTCATTAATCCTGACTGTGGATCACTGCAGGTTCTGATCTGATCTGATCTTGAACTTGATCCATTTCCTTCTCCAGGGATTAAAGGGTTTGGGTTCCGGTGCCACTGAAGGTGAACCTCAGACCTTTCTTCTGCTCGGGCTGGTACTGATTCTGGCGTGGGTGAGTGACGTGGGTCAGCAGCTCAGCATCCACTCCCACCAGTTTGTTTCTCCTGACAGAAGGAAACTCTTCTTTGTTTTTCCAAGGAGAAGTTATGCTTCATGGAAATGACGTAGCCATCAAACAAAATTCCCTGTGGATGAACTCTCCTGGATCTTCACGGAGGAACAGGTTGGTTGGACGTGCTGCTTCAACTTAAACGTTTTCATTTAGATAAACTTTAGTTTATATTTGGGCAGAATAATCATCTTTATTTCATTACTTTTCTTTTTCTTTTAAATCCCAGTCATTTGGACCAAAGTACGTGGAGGTTTTTTTCTCTCTGATATTATTCTGTTAAACTCCGCTGTGTTTTAACATCAAATACTGCTAATAATTAGAGGAACTCAAAGAGGAAGTATATGATGAAGCAGGAACATCGTTAGTCACTGCTACCAGGACGTGTCGACCAACGCTGACCAACAACGCTCTTCTCAAAGTTAAAGATGTGGTGTGGACCACACAAGTATCTCAGCATAAAGTTAGGATCAAAACAAGTCAATTAAAAAAAACATTTTAGATAATGAACAATAACCATGTTATTCATGGACGTCCGGGTCAAAGGGCAAAGGTCTTTCAGTTCTTAAACATTTTGAATTTCCTTTTTTCAGATTTTTCACATCTTGTAAAAAAATATTTTTCATAGCTGTGCCCCAATGTCCATCTACAGTATATTTTTACATATATACATACTTTTATATTACCATATATATATAACCACACATATATGCATACATACATAAATATATATAAAATGACACTATAAATGTACATCATTACAATAATATAAGATGGGCATGAAGTCAGTTAAATGTATGTACGTGTGTGTATGTGTGTGTGGTTCAACCCGTGCCAGTGTACAAAGCAGAGGACGTATGCGTCTCCCTGTTGGCCCGCAGCCAGAGCAGTGATAAAGATAATGTGTTTGTTCTGTTCTGACTCTAAGGTGTGTCTGCGGCAGGAATGTTTTCAGCTGCTAAATCTGTCCTCACTCACTTGTTCAGGATTTTTTTAAGACGTGGACTCAGGGCCCGGCTGACCCCAACGGTTAATAACAACCACCGACAGACCTGTAATCAGAGCAGAGAGGTGCAGTTAGCATTAGCAGAGCTGTTAGTGGACAAACATGTTCCTCAGGTTTCAGTCTCGAGTCTCAGTGGAACTGAGTGGAACTTCTGCCACAGTAGAGATTAAATAAAAGGTACAGGTGTGGACGTGAAGAAACTGAACTTCCTGTCTGGTGTTTTAACGTCACTCAGGCCAACGTCAGTGAACGGTTTGATGTTTCTCCTCAGGATGAAGACGTCAGCTTCTAACATCAGACGTCTACGCTGGCTTCAGGTTCTACTGCTGGTTCTCCTGACAGGTACGGTGGAGTCTGACCACGACAGACGTCAGCCAACACCTTCCTGGGATCTATTGTGAAGTCACTCTCTTTCATAATTGTGTCAAAGGTCAAAGTGTCACCGCACGTTTGTTCTTTGTTTCCACTCTGACAACATCCAACATACCCGAGTTTCTCAACCACAACAGTCACAAAAGAACAGACTAGAACATTCTGGAAACATTAGTCAAGATTGTTGTTTACTTTTTAACGGAACATCAACTCTACGTTGACAAATACTTCTAATACAGTACAGTGTAGTACAAATACTAGTAAAACTATTTATTTTAATTTTAATATTACTACTTCTATTTGTAATATTATTATTATTATTATAACCATTTTATTATTGGTCTTGTGTATAATCTTTTTTTTCAGATCACATTTCCTGTCAAGACAACCCTGAGGCTGCTCCTACTGATGCTCCTGCTTCAGGTGGATGTGTAAAAACTTCTAAATCTGATGGAAAGATCCAGTATTTTCAGTGCAGTACTGTTCATATTTGTTAAAGCACTTGGTGAAGTGTGATTACTGATTAGACCTGTGTCACTGACGCTGCTCTGTGTCTCCCTGCGACAGTTCACTATTTTCTCAAGGTCGATGTCGACGTCACCGAAGGAAAGAAAGACGAATCAGAAATTATAGACTGGGTGTGTGATGTCGCTGCTCATTAACAAACCTGTTTTTCTGACGCCGACATTAACTGTAATGGGCACCGTCGTATTTTTCCTTTCAGATCAGCCAAGTTTTAAAGAGCCAACTGGAGAGCTGTGTGACACCGGCGCCTCGTAAGACGCTACCCGCTAAAACAGCAGCAGCAGCAAAGACCACGAAGAGCATTAAACCAGCGGCTCCATCAGACGGTATCGAGACCACAAAGACCACACCGTCTGAGCAGCCCAGTAAAGCGGTCAAAAAGAGATCGTCGAGTGGCGTTTATCAAGTTAGTACTGGTGTAGGACGTACAGAGTTTTCCCGCGAGTTGCAGCACAATAAGATAAATAATAATAAAAAAAAGGCCATTTTGGGCCCCCTAGGGGTTATGCTGTATTGCTGTCATCCTATAAAATATATTTAAATTTAATTTTTAAATGTATTTTTTCCGCACAGGAGATTGATGTTTCATGCAACGGCAAAAAAAATATTAAGTGAGTCAAACAACATTTCTGATGTTGCCATTTTCATACTTGACTTACAAGCCATATTTTGTTAACTTGACTTTTTTTTTGTCTCAGAAAAACCAAGTGCTCGGTGACGCTGCAGCTCAGAAAGAGCGTTTCTGCGTGTTGTATCCTGACTTCTCTGTGTGCTGCCAGTAAAACCTCTCCTAACATCATCGTGGTGGGAACAGAGGCCAACAGAGTCGGTGAGTGATGACTGAACCCACTGGAATCATTAAAAAAAAAAAAGATATTTGACTGCATCGGTCTTTGTATGTGACTGAACAGGTCCAGTTGGACAGAACTGCAGCACCAGCCCACAGGACAGCTGTGTTTATAATGGACCGGTGGACAGTACATGGTGAGGCTGATATTTTCCCCACAGATCACAGAACGTGGTTTTCTTGGGTTGATGTTCAATTTACCGACACTTTTTAGAGGATGGCTCGATGCGATACTTGAGATCGGAATCGGTCCGATATTTTAAAAAATAAAATAAAATTACCAATACTTATCCCAGAGCTCTCCGGTGGGACTTTATTTTGATGGGTACACCATGCAGCCAATCATATGCGAGGACAGACTATGATCATACCACGATGTTAAAGAAGGACGGGGGGCAGACGCACCAAAGAGCAAGTGTAGAGGTACAGGCCAGGTACACACAAGTACAGCTACATGTTAACAACTGTTGGGAAGGATACAAGTGACATGCAACACGCAAATAATAAGAAATATAGGAACTGTGTATTTTTTTTAAACTAAAATACAAACCACTCATAATTCTTAAATTAGGCTAATATAGAAAATGCTGGAGGAGAAAAGAAGGTATCGGATCAATATCAGTACATACAGTTGTGTTGTCGGACAGGAAACCCTAATCTCTAACACTTTCATATATGTGTGTGTATTTAACCTTGTTGACCTTCAACAGTGAAGAGTCCGGCTCATCGTATGTTAGTGGTCCAGAAGACTCAAACTGTGGCAAAGGTAAAAATCTAAGACTTGAGCTCACTCACACACACACACACACACACTTTATGACTTACTGAATAAGAAGAAAGAAAACAGCCCAAAGTTCAATGGTACCAAACTAAGAAGCTCTGTTTTCATTTTAATATCAGACACTGGCTGCAGCTGCTCCGTTTACTGCAATGGAACAGGTTTGTGATGAAAAGACGCCAAATCTTCACACGTTCATCATCATTTTTATCAAAGAAATTCGAATGTTTTCTTTTTTTTAGACGCCTACTACACTTTGAAAATGAAAATCCTAACATCAAGTACAAGATCTTCTGCTGACTCGTCCCTGGTTGGTACACACACACACACACACACGCACAATTAGCTTGACGTATGTGTAAAGTATGGCACTCACCCGACTGTCGTGTGGTGGATCTCTCCAGTCGTCCACAGTCAGAGCAGGTTCCAGCTGTACGGGGTGAGGTTCTTCCATCAGCTTGTCAACACATCCCAAACTTGGATTTTTTCTAATTTAACAAATGTTTCTTTGTTTCCAGTGAATTGTGCCAACTTGTTTCAAATTTCAAGGTAAGAAGCAGAAAAAAACAAAACCGCACAGTTAATCAATCAATGTTTATCAATTGGACAGAATTGTAATTTTCTTTGTACTCACAGGGCTCCAAAATGTTCTGTGAACGCACCGCCACCAAGTGAGTAGAACCCTGACAGGAACCTCAGGAACGCCGTGCTCTGTTCTCCTCTGACGCCTCACCATCTTCTCGTCCTAGTGATCAGAACTGCAGAATGATCTTTAGTTTTACCCAGGAGGCTCCCATCTGTGAAGTGTCGGCCTTCATGATCAATCAGTACCAGTCACAGGAACAGATCAGTTTTGATGGACTGGTGAGACGAGTAGGTGAGTGCTCGTCACTGCACGACAAAAACTAAACAACAAACGTCAGCGGTCAAACATCTCGTTAACCCTGGGGGCTGTCGACACTTTGTAGCCGTATGTGGAAGCTTCAGTGACCCTCTGAAAAATCCCATCACGTGGCACAACGGCACCGCCATGCCTGACGTCTGCTCTGCCAACGCTGCGCCTTTTACCTGGTCTGTAATATTTTATCTATGGTTTTATCTTCTTGTATATGTATGCATACATATATACACATACATACATAAATATTTGATATATATAAATATATATACACACGTGTCCATGTTTTTCCCTCTGCAGTGACAAAACCAAGACGGTGATTGTGGCCCTACAGGAACACTGTCTGTGGGTGCCGACAACAGTCAGCCCTTACACCACCACCCCATATCCAAGTACCATGTCAACAACACTGCAACACAACAATACCACTGTTAATGTCACGCTAACAACTCACAACACAACCAGTGTTCCAGCCACAAACATGACTACGGCAGTAAACACCACTGTGATGACAACCACCGAACAAACAGGTGTGTTCACTTCCCTCAGTCAGCCGTACTGTATGTTGACATTGTTCTGACTGTTCTGTTTGTCTGTGAATGTCGTGGGCCGCAGCTGAGGGTCGAGCCAGCGCACTCCTGGCTCTGACTGAAGACATGTCTTTACTGAACTCCAGCCAGGTGGACGACCTGGTGTTTCAGCTGGAGGACATTCTGTCTGGGTCCACCATCAGCCTGGCTCTGGCAAACATCTCCATCCAGATTGTCAGCAATCTGCTTGGCGCATCACCTGAGAAGCTAGCCTCGTCCTCCAGGAAGTGAGGGGTTCAGTTTTTACTTTGTTTTTTTTTTCTTTGGCATTTAGACCTTAGGGAGTGGGGTGGCGGCATATATATATATATATTTATATATATATATATATGTATGTATGTGTGTGTGTGTGTGTGTTCCAACAGGATCATAGGAATCGTTGATACTGTTGGTGAAAAGCTGATCCTGGAAAAACGAACTGAAACCATCTTGGCCTCAGCTGTAGCGCTGTCGGTGAAGCCAGCAGATGGCGCCAACTTTCAGGAAACTCTTTTTTCCATCGTGGATCCCTCTAACGTTCAGGTGAGGAAGAGCAGGTTTGAGCTACGACATTGACTGTGAATTAATCAAACAGAGATAGAATATAAAAACATCTTTGATAAACAGCCGGACTTTAGCAATTTTGTCTACCTTGAATGACCTTGAACTTTTTTGTCCATTTCATTAAACTAGTTCCGTTATCAATCAAGTTGTCGTTTATCTGACTGTTCCCGGCTGCAGGTCCGTGGAGGTGCCAGGCTGAGGAGCAGGAGAGCGGACTCCTCCACTCCTCAGGGCTCCATCACTTTACCATCAACCATCACAGAGAACCTGACCAATGAGCAGCAGCAGCTGGTGTCACGAGTCCACTTCAACTTCTACCAGAAGAGCACAGTCTTCCAGGTCATGGAATATCCATTATTGTGGATCTACACAAAAGAGATTTGAATTGTTAGTAACAGGGATTTAAACTAGCGTCATATCGGTGTCTGTTCATGGCGATACAGGACAAAACTTTGGGAAAACGCAGACTGAACAGCGGCATTCTTGGAGCCAGTGTGGGGAACCTGTCCATCTCTGGACTGTCAGACGAAGTTGTTTTTGAGCTGAGGAACGATGGGCCCATCCCTGTAAGTAACTTTAGTCCTGTCGAACGATTGGCTGTGAATATGAAACAAATTCTGGATTTGACAAACTCTAGGAAAACTTTGAGGCCAAGTGTGTTTTCTGGGACTTCTCATCAAACGGTAGGTTTTTTTCAATTGTTTTTGTCATTTGAATCACAGCTGTTGAACCACTGTATGTATGTAACATATTTGCCCCCCCCCCCCCTCCCACCAACAGATGGCTCCGGTGGTTGGAGTTCTGACGGCTGTTCTGTCCACAACACAACCAAAGACAACGTGACAGTCTGTGGCTGTAACCATTTAACCAGCTTTGCGATCCTTCTGGTACGAAAACAACCCTTGTTTCGTGTACGTTTTCTGTTGATAGTATTATGGTATGTCCAGTCTGTAGTGACTTTGTTCTGTCTTCTTCCAGGACCTCTCCAGAGGAGAGCTAACTGATCCTCTCCATGCAACAATCCTCACCTTTATCACATATATTGGCTGTGGGATCTCAGCCATCTTCCTGTCCATCACCATCCTCACCTACTTGGCATTCGAGTCAGTGTACTGATCTCAACAACAATCCCCTGACACCTGCTCCTGTTGCTTCTTGGACTTACCAGAGGCTGAAGAAACTTTGTCTCCTTCTCATCACTGTCATTCCTGCAGGAAGCTCCGGAAGGACATTCCATCGAAAATCCTGATCCAGCTGTGTGTGGCTCTGCTGCTGCTGAAC